ATGAAAATCACTTTAAACTTATTGTGCCTTTCGAAAAATGTAAAACAGATAAATGGCTTCGCATACATGCTGCTCTAGATGCTCAAAGATAGTGAGCCCTAGACGCTTTACACAAATACCAATTTTGAATCCATTGATAGATATTGCAAAACTTGGATACCCAGTAAGAGAATTATATTTAAAAAGCAAATACAAAAGGTACATAACTATCTGCCAGTGTAATGCATCTAACTTAAGACTTGTACATGAACACGCTAAAACAAGGGCGTACAATACTTTAACGCGCGCGACGATCTAACGACCATTTTTCTATTTCTTTCATAAACACACAATTTGTTGAAATTAATCGTCTTGCTTTTTACTTTTCGAAGTCTGTGGACTACACGTTTGCTGGATTGCATGCATTCCAATTTTAGGGACCTTTTCTGTTTCCTTTGAATCAAGAAACCTACGTGGCCAGTTAATAACGGAGTCTTCACCTTCCTTCAGTTTTTGCAATCAATGACTTTGACGAAATTGAGCTACGCACCAGCGCAAGCATTAAAGCTAGGTGTAAGATAACTGAGACGCTGTCGTGGATCCAGACTCTCAATTTTGGTGACTTGCTGTGGTGCTGACACCGAACGCCAAGGAGCTCGGTAATTCTAAAATGAACAAAATTTCATTCCACTACTCAAAGGACCCCAGCGCACACACCATACTGACCTTCTACTCGAACTTACTCTATGATTCTTTCGATCAGTTACTGTCACTTCCGTAACAATTAGAATGGTTAATATTCATTTTCTGACACCTAGCGGAAGGGAACTTAACTGGCCTTCCTTCGCACAAAGAAAAGATTCCACTAGACCTGCCTTACAAAGAAAGTGGAAAATTATACGGGCTTGTCGATGTTCATCCTTCGCAAACCCTTACTCAGCTTCAAGCTTTGTTACATACTGTTTCTGGTGATTAACCTATTACTAAGCTGTAAGCTTTGACCCCATAAGGCTTCAAATTACTTACTTATTTGTTTAGAGTGTCTTAGAGTACACAAGTCAATTGCGCAGCTAAGAAAAAAGCCGGAATGCCGTGGTTAGTCGCATACCGAGGGTTTAAAAAATTACAAAGATGTTTTCCATCACTCGTCACAGATTTTCGAGGAGTATTGGACTCCGGCTGTGAATATCTATCGATCTTTTAGGTAGACAAGTTGACTTAGAGGACGATGGCAATGCAGTAGCTCCGATCGACTTCCCTGGGACAGCCCTCTATTTCATCGTCGTTGACTAAAAATGATTAGGCAGCAATACAGCTGATGGCTGCAGTGGAAGAAACAGGTTATCTTTAATTCCAGTTTGCGGAACACTCCTTTCACTCGTGGTCCAGTCATCCCTTAAACGTTGATTCCAAATACTTTAGCGACAATATAAGTTGATGTTCTAATCCTTAATCTTTCTACATCATTTAGGAAAGCAAACTAAGCATAGGTTTTTCTGCTTCGTTTGATCCTCAGTATATTCTTTAGGTAGGCGCCAGTCGAACTTGCTGACATTCCCATGTGGACACATGAACACAGAGTATCAAGACGTTTCCAAGTCCAGCTGACTGATGCTACGGCAAGCGTTTAATTTTTTTTCCTCCTAAAATTTATTCGTACTTCCATCACATGTACATCTACAGGCCTTTATCGCCTGTCCTCGCAGACTTGCTTCATTGCTGATACCTTCAAGACATTTCTTGGCTGTGAACTTCAACCTGAGCCCAATTTTATTGCATATTACCGAGTTTTTTGATTAGTTGGCATCATAAGTGGCATTTTAGTGTGTAGCGTGAGCCTCTTAACAACGTCATGCAACTCAGTTGTCTCTTCTTCATATGTGGTTTAACCTTATTGGTAGCTCCTCATTTAGCAACAACGATTCCGCCGTTGGGAGGTCCAACAGTATTCTGTGCACCATCAGCACCTTAGTTCTTCCGATTTTTGCTCAATCTGGACGGCTGACGATGGTCAACCTTCAGACTGCCGAGGCGAAGACGGAATATGCGCTGTAACTCTACACCGTTTCAGTATCCGAATGCCATGGGGCGTCATCGTTTCATATTTCACTCAAGGCATATCTGCCAATTATTCAGCACTTAATGATGGTATCATTCTAACTGTTGCCGTCTGAGCCTTTTCAGAAAACTGGGCTTCCGAAGATTGACCTGGTATATATCTCTTAGTAAATACGATCACCTTCAACGATTTATTTAATATTAATCTACCGCCACTAATTGAAATTCAATCGCATATACTTTGGTATTTACAGTATTGCCTAGAGGTTCCAAAAGTCGTGATTTAGACTGCCAGCCGTTCGTGTACGCCTGTATCAATGCTTTATTGATGGCCAGTACAAAATGCTACAGAAGACAAGGATGATCTTACCGTGGCGTCTGACTATTCTAGGCACGTATTCGGCATCTGTCTTAATTTCTGTGTCCATTTGGAGGCCCTGCGTCCTGCGACATCAAAGATCGACGTCAATTGCGATTTTCTCTGCAAACGTCGAAGCAACCGTTGACCGAATCGATAACAAAAAGAATAAGGTTGCTGGCGTGAAATCCATACCTACACTCTCTGCTCGTCAGTTCTCATGTGAAGATAAAGGTACCGTCATGGTGGCTGAAAAATAGTCTGTTTTTACCTCGACGAGTCTTTTAGTAATCTTCCGCTTTTGGGCGGTCCCTGACTAATGCTGCCAGTAAAAATCCTTGTCGCACATCACGTCCCTCTCATGCTGCTCACATACCTTCTCGATGTATCGAACTGTTTGTTAATCGTACCACGAATCTTACCGAAGCTATTTATGGAGAGGTTAGTTAGTTAGTCAAGCAAGTCAAAGTTGGAACACAGGCTCCCTAGTTTCCAGCGGAAGAAGGTACGCTCCCACTACTATTGTCCATTAGTTCTTTGTCCAGCCCAGACAGTCGGACCTGCCGCGCATCTTTGGATAGCATAGCTCACTTGCCTCCATTTGATAGCTACATAACCGTCTTCTCTGTATGCTAGATACAAATCCTGGGCCGAAGCCAATCTGCTGTCGCGTGTAGGAGCTAATGCCAATTTTTGTGACTTCTACATTCATATTATGATCATCTTTTATAGTCATGGCTGACAGAGGAACCCGACTTGATTCTTTACGCTTCTGAACCTGAGCAGTTAATGAAGATAGCGACACTCATCTTAGATGCCCATGCATTCGGAAGACTGCCTACCATTCAGCCGTCACTTGGTAACTTCGAACGCTTTCGCCTTTTGCTTAAAATTGTCCTACGTGCCGGAAAGGACATCGTCAGCTGGAAGTAACGTCTTCCACTGTCTTTTCTCGGCGTTTGAATAAATTTAAATTGGACTTGGACTTTGACATGGTCAAAATTAAGGAGAATTGTGATCCTCTCACCATCAGACTGGATGATCACTTCAACCTAATGTGATTGCTATGATTCATACTACTTTTTGCGCCGCCTTTGATTTTTTAGGTGTTCACTGTCATTTGTCCCTTACCGTCTTGCATGCCAAACGCGCAGCTTTAATGGGTGGCCCTGGATATTAGTCATGGCAGCAAATTCAAAAAGTTCTCAAAAGCCAGACTGTAATCCAATTCTTTCAAAATGTTGAATGCTTTTGAGTGATCACCGAGCATTCGCCTATATTCCAAAGGAAAATGATTTATGTATGCTAAGCGGGATAAATAGGACAAGGAGCTTTCTTTCGAGACCACTGTGAATTCCAGTTTTGTGTGGTAGGCTCCGGAATATTCCGATAAATCTTGGCGGGGAAGTAAGTCAATTTATTAAGGGAAGAAGGCTTTCGCCCTTGAGCTTCCTAGCTTTTATCCATTCCCAGACAAACAGTGGACGGTTTTTAAGGAGTTAGAATTTAACACAGTGGTACTTTTGTGCTTACATATATTTAAAGGCTGCGCTGCTGTGAAAAAAAAGTTTATAGTGTTCAATAGACGTGACTGTGCTTAGTCAAAATATGGTATACTCACCGAAGTTAACCGCAGGGGCCACTGATTAGCCCACTCCTGTAACCGATTTAGGTTGAACTTCGGTCTTATTCCTTTCCTTTCCTTTCCTTTTCTCCTTTCCTTAGATTACATTACCATTTTTCATGTCATCGACAAATGATGTTTTATGAATGTCTGCTATAAAATGTTTGTGAGTTTATAAGGACGACCAAACCCAACGAGAAGCTGCATACTATTCAAGTATTCTTATTTGCCTATGGTTTTTTCAAGTGAAAGTCGAAGGGTTAATTTAAAAAACGAGCATTCCGGCACGAATGAACTATTTTAACATTCCACTGCAGAAGGACGTCACAGGCTGCCTGTCCATCGGGGCGATTACCGGGGTGTAGCTGTTATATCGAGCCCAGCTTCGAGGTGTCGTAGGTGAGCGTTGGGTACTAGT